TGAATAAGCATAAAACTTATTGTTATATGGCATGGATGTGTATAGTTGCGTGTTATGCAGCAGTATCACAGTAGCATTTGTGTAGCATTCTTATGATCACCTTGATTACATGTGTTTGGGGACACGACCGTGTGCTTAGGTTGAAAACTCTTTACTATTTAATTTATCATTGGTTATTATTATCTCACAACTCACTAATGTAAGATTTGGAATAGTAATTTAAGCTCCCCAAACTATAATTTTTCTCACTTATTCACTACGATAACAATACTTATCTCCTAAATTCTGAAATGTAGGTGTGATAATGTTTGTCAGACAAAGTAAGTATGCAATAAATATATTAGTAGTAGTAGTAGTTATATTGAAGTTGCCTTTTGATTATACTTTTATACCAAGCAGAGTTCCTAGCATATTAGAAATGATTAATAAATATCTATGAAAAAGTTAATATAGTATGATGTTTAAAATAAAAATAAATGCTTATTTTTTTCATTAAGAGAATCATACATAATTAAAAGGACTCAATGGAGAATCTGGCATATAAATAAATAATTAATAGGTTGCTGCTATTGTAGATTTATTCAGTACATGTTTTACGAAATACTTCCCATGGATCAGGCATTGCTCTAGGCACTGAAGATTCATCAATAAATAAAACAGATAGTCTTTGCCCATATGGAGTTTACATTCCCTGGGGAAGACAGATAATATGTGAGTAAACAATTAAATATATAACACCCATTGGTGATAAGTGCTATCAGATAAAAAGCTGTGTAATGGACTAGGAGCCAACAGGATAGTCATGAAGTGGCATTTGCACGTGAAGCTGTCAGGTGCCTTGTGGAATAAGAGAAGACATCACAACAGAGATAATAGGCTGATATTTGAAGATGAGTAGGAGCTCATTATGAAAAGCGAAGCATACTATCTGAGGTGAGAAGGGAGCTAGCGTAAAGGCAAATATTTGAGAAAGATTATGGATTATTTAGGTAATTACACTATTAATTCATTTAATGTTTACTGAGCTTCATATCTGGTGGATGAACTTTATGGTCCATGCTCTTCTGCAAATTGATTTTTTGACTGAATTATGTTATATATTTTTTCATATCAGAACACCGAGAGTTGCATAATTTTCTTTATAATAGCAGTATGTATGTCATCCCAAGAAGATATATAAAAAATCTATTTAAACAAAGAATTTTGAAACAAAAGAACTAAAGAGTGAATGGAAGCTTTGAGTCCTGGAAACCAGATAAGAATACATGAGAATGTATAGCCATAGTCCCAGTGACAGATGACAACTATGGACATTAGAAAATGGGTAAAACCAAATTATATACAAGGAGGTAGGACAAAACAATTATTTTTTTGGATATGTTATTGGATGTGGAAATGAGAGAAGAGATATGGGAGCCTCTCCAGATTCAGACCTGACTGGCTCTATGGGTTATGGTGCTCTTATCTATAGGCCATGGCAAGATGCTTGGCAGAAATATAATTATATAACAATATTAAGCCTCAGAATTTCTAAACTCATTGCTGGAGCCATAGCTAGGTCTATAGTTTCACTCTTGTCCTCCAAATTTTGGAGAAGAGCAATTATATTTGTTGAATAAGATAAATAGATGATAGCTGATAGATAGATAGATAGATAGATAGATAGATAGATAGATAGATAGATAGATAATAGATAGATAGATATGATATATAGGTATACATAGATATATGGATATATATTCAGATATCTATATCTGTAATTTTCTATATTAAAAATAAAAAACATTTTATTCAGGCATCGTATTTGATCAGGTAGCCTGTATTTTTACTCATATATGATAAACTATGTACTAAACTGCCAGCATTTTTCATTGATTAAAGAGTTTTTATATTGATTTTCATCATTCGATTGCCTGTGATCAGTTTGAGCTCAGTAATGAAATGTGAATATGATTATTGTCCATCCATGTTTTAAGAAATTATTCTCCCTCCAATTCTATTCTTTAACATTAATACTGGATCCTAAATTAGCAATTTTTATTCACTAACATACCAAGAGTACACAACATTATTATGCCTTTTTTCAGAATTAAGACCTGTATCTTTAATAAGGAGATTTATCCCCTACTTTCATTGAGAAGAAATACACATTTTAGTGTCTTACTGACATAATAAAATTCTCCCAACAGAACTAGTTAGTGACTGTTATTTATAAATATGTTTTATGCTCCCAGCTTCTAATTCTTTAATAATCAAATCAAGAACAGAAACATCGCTTTTGCAATATGCTTCTAAAACCATGACATTTAGGAGAATCACTAATTATCTTTGAGCATAAATTTAATAGCTTCTGAACAGTTCAGATCAAAAATCAAAAAGATCTTCAAATAAGACCAATATTTCAACTTAATATGCATGGTACACAAGGTCATACTTAGTAGGGTGCACTATTTGTCTAGAGAAAATTATTTTTGAATAATCACATGTTATGTTTCACATAATTGTTCTCTAAAAGGCCTACAATTTTTTAGTATGTTTATCAAGGCAAGCTCTAAATACTACAAGCTTTATATATTCTTACACCCCTCATATATGCAAAGGTGCTAACTAGTTCACATATTGTTAAGTTTTTAGAAAACGAAAAATAAAAAATCAAAGATATCAATCATATAGAATTGTAACTACAGTTAACCTGCAGGGATCTTTCCACTGTACCTCTGATTAAAGCATAAAATAATAATCTAAAGAACTCTATTACATCCCAGGGATTTCAAACACACTAAGCTTTAGATTTCAAAACCTCCCTAGCAAGATTAAATGCCTGCCAAGGATATTTAATCTCTGCTGGAGATTCTTTGAATTGATGCCTTCTAGTTTAAGCACTTGTATGTGTACTCACACTAGTTCTCATGTCATCCTCACAGCATCATGTAAGGCATAGTCTACAAAAGTGACTGGGCCCTTGATCTATAGATTCTCCTCTTCTATTGTATTTTATTTTTCTTGCTTCCCTTGCTCAGTTTTCTGATTTGAGAGGATATCTGCTGGAGATTCTTTGAATTGATGCCTTCTAGTTTAAGCACTTGTATGTGTACTCACACTAGTTCTCATGTCATCCTCACAGCATCATGTAAGGCATAGTCTACAAAAGTGACTGGGCCCTTGATCTATAGATTCTCCTCTTCTATTGTATTTTATTTTTCTTGCTTCCCTTGCTCAGTTTTCTGATTTGAAATCTAAATTACACTGTAAGTAAAAAGGTAACAGTTTTCCTGTGGGAAATTGTTCATACAGTAATGTTCTTCCTTTGGGTTTATAGAAGAATAAAAAGAATTTCTCAAGAGATAAGTAGTAGGGTAGTAGGGATGAAGGAATCCAAGCATGAATTCAAGTGGATTCAGACACATGTCTGGTCATGTCAGATGAACTAGTGAAACAGGCTGCTCTGACAACTTTAAAAGTTGGTTAAGAAAACTTCTACAGGAGGATTCAACTTGTGTTCATTGTCGATGTTCCAAGAGGTTTGTTTCAAGTGGTGAATCAAAGGAATCAGCCTAAAAGAAAGTCCCTTTGGAGAAATTGAGAAATTTTCTGGGAGAGAATAAATTTTGATGGAAGAAAGAGCCAAGTCCCTTGACCATAACCTTGACTGTTAACAACCATGAGACTCTTACTAATAAAGCATCTTGTATATTACAAAGGTTTGACTTTGTGCCTTCATTCATTCATGAGAATGTTAACAGTCCTCTAATAAAGTGTGAAAAGGAATCAGAAAAGATTCCCTCACTCCTTTTTTCCATAGAACACTGCACCATTTGGTTCCACGCATCATGTCAGTGTTAGATGGATCTGCCTTATGAGGATGATGGCGATCAACATATGTCAACTATAGACGTGCAGTTCCTGCTCAGGAAATGAATGATGCTTCTCAATATTCTCCTCTGCTTCATGCCAAAGATTGTAAAAAAGCAAAGGCATACCTGGCCAGACCGGTGGTACCATGAAGATTTTCAGTGGGGGAAAGGATATAGAAAGAACATAGAGGTTATTTTGGATAGTGAAAATACTCTATATATTATCATGATAGATGCCTATCATATATTCTTCCAAACCCACAGAATGTAAAACACCAAGAATGAACCCTCAGGTAAACTATGAACTTTGGGTGATGATGTATCAGTGTAGGATCATCAACTGTAATGAAAGTGCCACTCTGGTGGGGGATGTTGATAGTGGGGGAGTCTGTGCATGTGTGGGAGGAGAGGGTATGTGGGAAAACTCAGTACCTTCCTACCAATTTTGCTGTGAACCTAAAACTTCTCTAACAAAGTAGTCATAGAAAAGAAGATATTTAGCTAATATTAATGTGACACAGAAGAATGCACTTTAATGTAATATGTGAATGACACAATTCTTAGTAATTCCAAGAACACTTGAGGAACACTAGAGGAGGCTGATTTCCTAAGTGAGTAGACAGTGGTAAGTTATTTTCATTTAGTGTTAATATGACAGCCTATGAGTTCTCAAGTTTGCGCAATGTGATGAACTAGAAACATTTGCATTATACTATATCTCGTAGCCACACACCTCATTTCTTCCTAAGTAAATTTTTTATATTAGTTGCCAAATAAGATGTTAAAATAATAAAAATAGAAACATCACAACAGGACAATTAATTTACATCTTAAGTAAACAATTTATTGGACAAAATGCAAGTTTTATCCAGCGTCTTGCTAGAAAGATAACATCATGGTAATAGCTGTAAGAAAAGTAAACCAAAAGGAGGAGATCAAACTAGAATGGTTATGCATATTGAATATGCATTTAGCTGATGGGTTTGTGGGTAAAAGCACAAAATATTCATAGTAACAGTTTATTAACTTATAAATAGCTATCAATTGATCCTGGAGAATATAAGACGAATGTTTTGGGAATAAAAGCACAAGATAGGACCAAACACATTTGGAGGTTTTCCATCAGCATCCACTTATAGCAAATTTTTAGTAGCAGCGGGAGAATCCATATCCTCCATAGCATGATGGGCGGCAGCAGCCATACCCGTAGCTTCCATAATAACAGGGGCGGTAGCAGCCACATCCGTAGCTTCCGTAGCCACACCCATAGCCCAGTCCACGGAAGCTGCCACATCTACAGCCATAGCCACAGCCCAGGCCACCAAAGCCTCCATAGCCATAGCCCAGGCCTCCGTAGTAGCTGCCGTAGTAGCTCATGGTGTCAGGGGTGGAGTGTTAGTTTGCTGTTCAATGCAAGATCCTGAGTGCGAATGTCAATATGTGTCGAGGGAGGCTTATATACTTGAAGCAGAGCATGTGATAAAACATGTGCCCCACCTTTGGTGTCATTCCATGAATTATACTTGCCTGAGACAACTCATTAAATCTATGATCTCCTGACAACACTCCTTAAGAATGTCTGAGCTAGCTTGGCTGCCTAGTTATGTTCTTCCTGAGTTTGTTGCTCTAATTTTGTTAAAAAGAATTGCTGTTTCTTCAAAGTATGGACATACCGAATCCTAAATAGAATTCTTTATTACTAGGCACTTAACATCAGTCCCATTAAATACTGTTGAATTTCTAATAAGATATCTTATCATAGGCGTTTTGGGAAATTGTTTTAGATTCCACCAAATATCAAGAAACAATCCGTCAAACCTCTCTTAAATTTATCACTTTTTTCAAAAAGCACACATTTTGCAACATGAGCAGTGAAGGATGTACTTCTTTTCAGAAGATTAAAAAAAAAAAAAATACATCAAGAAAGACTTGGTTCACCTGCTCCGTACACCAGAAAACAACAACAAAAGCTCACTTGCTTTCTAGAGTTTTACAACTTTTACCATAAACCATTGGTAGATTTATTTTTGGCTTTACACACTGACATACTTGTTTTGGTTTAAAAAATATAGCACGTTGGAGTCAGAAGTGGTGAGACCAAGTCACAGTGACCAAGAATCTATCTTATGAGAAGCCTTCAAAAAGTTCTTTTTATATCCTGGGCCTTTTCTCCAGAACGAGTTCTAGCCTCACTGCTACTACAAATGTAGAGATTATATTTGCCTCCATACACCACTTTTCCCTCTTTTTCTAACCCGTCATCATTTATCCATGTATCTTGCATGTCATTTTCAAACTGCACTTGAAACATCACCCAACTTTCCTCCTACGTGATTTGTTACTGCATGCAGGTAAAAATGCGAAGTGGGTAAATGGTTTTGTCTCCCCTGTATATTCAAGTCAACACTACACTCCTTTCATCAAGATCTCCACAGTCAATATTATATGTTTGCCTCTGTCTTTGCCTAATCTCTGCCCATTTTTTGTTTTCAGGCAATTTCTAACTAACCTTTCCTAAGATATCACAAGACCTTTCTAAGACACTGATAATTACTTGCCTAAAACATACTTCAACTCCTAAATCATCTGAAATTTTTAAAGGACTCGTACAACCTGGAATACTTAAGAAATTCTCTAAATGTATGACACAATTGGAAAAAAAGACAAGGAATGAAAAAACACTCTTTGGAGACATTTGGCCTCATATTCACAGAGTCCCTCACTTGACCTTGAGCCCAGAGAGCTAGTTATCAATACCCAAAGCAGATCCCAACCTGATTAAGCCCTATGGAAATGCAGCTGTATCTTGAAATTTAGAACTCAAAAAACTGAGTTTTTTATGTGGTTATGCTCATTTTTGATCAAAGTTATCAGAATTATATGACTTTAACTAACAGTAAAGTAAGGACTATATATATCATACTCAGAACAACTGATTGGGTGTTCTAGGAAATGTTTTAAGGCTGACTTAAGTTCCAACAGGCTTTCTGGTTTTAGAGTGTCATTTAACTCAATATTAATTTTAATCTCAGTGCAATCTCAACCTAAATTCATTTTATTTTTATTTCTTGTTTTATAAAATCAGCCAAATGATAAAATATTTCCATTTTTAATGACTCATTTAGGATCATGAATAAATTACATAGCATTAAGGATTTCACACTGTTCTCATGTAGCTCTGTCAGAGCATGTGACCATGATTAAGAGCTATTTTTCATTTGTTTTTAATGCATAAGACTGTTTTGACTTTATATATAGAAACGATATGGGACACAAATAAAAAACTTTAATAACAAATAAACACAAAAATTGTTTTCAAAGAAGAAAACACATGACTATGATATACATAACTTCTAAATGTTCTCTAGCTGTAAAAACAAGAAAACAACTGTTTAAAAATATGAGACAAATCTGTATTTTGTATTTTTTTATATACACCAGTGAAGAAAAAGTCACATTGGAAATTTCATTGCGCGGGGGCGGGAGGTGGTATTATTTTTCTGTCTATTCAGTGTATCAAGTGCAGATTTGGACTATTCTTATTTTTTTTATAAAGTTTTATCTCATGACCCAAGTTTCTATTCATGTTGGTGGATAGAGGAGTAAAAATTGTTCTCTTTTTGTTATAAATTCAAAACATTTCCTCTCACTCAGATACAGTTCAATGCAATGTAAATAGAAGAAAATTATGATAATATTGATTATACTAAGAATGTCAACTGCAGTAATAATTGTATTGATTCTATCTTGTCAGCTCCATGGAAACTCTCCCTGGAGATATTAGCCAACTGAGAGGAAAATAGAAATCCTATTTTACTGGATCAAACCTCATAGCCTTCAATAGTTACTTGGCTCTACCTGCCTTGCTCAACCCACTGTGATAATACATATATCCCAGGAAGCATTGACTGAAAGAAGAGTTCATGATGCTTATTTTTGTTTAGTATTGTTTGTATTTTATTTGTTTGTTGTTGTTGTCACTTAGTTGAGTTTTAACATTGCTCATTATTTAGTTACATTCAAAAGCAGATAAACTAGAAATTGATAGGTGCAATTCTCACTATCAAAACAGTAAAAATGTTAGAAAAACATAGATGTCAAGTGACCAATCTCCATTAAATCAGTTATGATAACTTAGCTCTTCTTCTAACCATGTGTTGAACTTACAAAATGGTTTATTTGACAATATTCTATGAGAAAATACATAAAAAGAAAGTCAGCATGTTGTCAAGTACCTGGGACTAAAGACAGCATGGTTCTGGCCCTAGTCTTGACTAATTACCAGGGAAAATCACATAATTTGGGTTTTCCTGCCTACAAACATATGGGACAGGATTGCAGAGTTTTAATGTCCCCTTTCAAGAATTTAATTCTATAATTCTACTTTTATCTTTGTTTTATTACATTTGCCCAGCTTATATCAAATATCACTGGGGATGATATCATTACCTGAAGATATCATTCAGTTTTACAAAAACATTTTTGTAGCTATTTTACATACTCTTCCTAATTTCTCATACTCCCAATAAAATGGTCACTTTTGAAGGGACAATATTTTACCAAAACTCAGCTTTCTATGATTGCTTTTAAATATTGAATGATATTTCTAGTCACTTGAAGCCACATATAAAGCATAATATTTTGCTTTATAATAAAATTCCTGTTTGTTATTGTCCTTATTTGATTACAGTTACTTCAACATGATGACGAAAAGGAGGTGGATGCTGAAGAACAGTGTTCTCTTCAGAGGATAAGTGAAACGAATGAGTTAAATAACCAAAGGCCACATTTTATTATTCAGCCATGACTTTTAAGTCACTCTTACTTTACATGCATAACACACTAGATAAAAGCAGAACATTATGAATAAAGATAATATATAATTCAAAGAATCGTGGAAAAACAGCTTACTTTCTCTAAGATTTATAAATATGGATTATAAGATTTGTGGAAAGTTTGCTATGATTATAGTTTTAATAATATGATGTCTAGCAACCATAAATAGATATATATAATACCATCTGTTTTTATAAAAAATATAAAAGGAGACAATCAGAATTTTTGAAGGAGGTAGAGGATTAGTTCCAAATCTTGAACTCCATTAAGAATTATATATAGATAAAATACAAACTATGTGAAATAATTAATTTCTTATAATGCATATATATTTACATCTCCATGGTTGATTTTTGCTGTCAAATTCAATTCTGAATGTTATATAACAAAAATAAAAACAAAGCGTGACATTCTATTGTTTTGAATTATAATTCTCGAACTATAGTTTTCTTCTATATGATTATATATATGTATACATGCGTATATAATTATCTGTTTTGTATTTCTAATTGGCAAATTGCAAAACCTATATATAAGTATGTACACATAATTGAGTTAAATGAACCGAAAAAAGCCACATTTTTTTTTTTACTTGAAATTAGGTCATTTAGTGTGTATTCAGCATAAGTCATCTGTTAGTACCTAAACTGAGGATGCCAGGAGACATGATGCAGACATGTTTATAAATAATAGATTCTCTGAAATTCTGAGATTTCTCTTGATCATTGGCATACAGTAACTCATTCCACTGACAGAAGATTATTTTGGCAAATCTATTCATGATAACAGATGTTGAGTTACTAGAGTAGTTTAGTAGAAGCCAGAGGGTCCATATCTTCCATAGCACAATGGGCAGCAGCAGCCATATCCATAACCTCCATAACAAAAGGGATGGCAGCATTCACATCCACAGCTTCTATAGCCACAGCCCAGCCCTCTGTAGTAGCTTGCATAATAGCTCACAGTATCAGAAATGGCAAGTTGTTTGCTGTTCAATGGTAAGTTGTTTGCTGAGTGAATGTTAGCATGTATAAGAGGACACTTACATACCCTGAGCACAAAATGTGATAAAACTTGTAACCATTCTTTTGTATCATTCTAAAATATCCATTTACTTGAGGTAACTTATTAATAATCTGTTTGTTAACACAAGGAGAGACTCAGACTCATTAAAATTTTTGAGCTTGCATAGCTGCCTAGTTAGGACACCCTTGAACTCATTACATTCTTTCTTTTTTAATGAGGAAAAAATCTGTCTTCAAAGTCACAAAATAAAAATTCCCTAAATAGAATTCTTCATTACTAAGTATATTGCATCATTGATATTTGATGGTGTTTTCTCATAAAATATTTTGTCATTTCTAATATTCATATCATTCTTTGGATCATCGTATCTTTTTTTCCAACTAAATTCCAATATACTGATCAATTTTAAAATACTTAAACCTGTCAAATTTATTTCTCAAGTCAAAAATACATGCACACACACAGGAACAAGAAAACTATTTGGATTTTATATATCCTCTTACAAAATATCTTTC